TAAGCTTCAATTTGTGGAAGAACTTCTTTTTCAATTATATTCTCGCTGTCTCGGTACCTCTCCAGCATTGCTAAATATAAATAGTGGTAAGTCTTCATTATATCATAGTTTTCTCTGTCATTTGCAAATGAGGCACCCAGAAGTTCCAGAGCTTCAATCCGGCTTCTCCTATCACAGTCGGCGTGAGCAAGCAGCAGCTCTACAACATCGGCCTTGCAGCTCTCGGCAGCGACTTTCAGCGGAGTCATCCCATGGCCGTTCACCATCATCGCCGCCTTCCACTTGACCAGCTCCCTCACTATTTCCAAGTGGCCGGCTTCGGCCGCGAAGTGCAACGCCGTGGCACCGCAGTGGGCTTTGGCGTTGGGATCAGCATGCTGCTCGAGGAGGTACCTCACCACGTCCGTGTGACCTTTGTAAGCCGCAATCATAAGGCAAGTGTTGTCGTACTTGTTGGCAATGCTGATGTTGGCATTGTTTTCTACCAGGTATTTCACAATGTCCAGTCTGCCATCGAAACACGCAGCCCTCAGGGGAGTCGAATTGGTCACTGTAGTGTGATTCACATTGGCGCCGTGACTCACCAGCAATTTGACTACTTCAAAGTGGCCGGCTCCTGCTGCACACCAGAGAGCTGTGGCTCCATCAATGACAAAGCTAAAAATGTAAAGACGGAAACAAGCAGTTAAACCGACGCTCTTTCAAAAGCATCTTTTACAGGCGGCCGAGCACCATGCAACAGGCACGTACGTACCCAGCCATTGAAAGGTACTTTGTAGCCATCCTATTTTTGTACTTGAAGGAACTTACCGGGATAGCCACGGTAAAAGAATGAGAGACTTATCAAGCACATAGACCTCCCGAAGGAAGAAACGTTGGAAGCTGAAACTTCAAAGCAGCCAGGGGATTTAGCCACATTTTGCACTAGTACTTCCCGGGCTGCTTTGAAGATCCTACCTGCAAGCTCCAGCCCTCAGCCTACGGAGGTCTCGGGAAGAATAGTTACAAGAATTACCGCTTCTTTGATGCCTTGTGCCAGAAACCGACACATAAAAGAAAGAGAGAAAACTTAAAACTGACATATTGACACAAAAGAACAAACTCAGACGTGAGTAACAGTATAGCTATACAATACAGCGGCCCTAGCAGCAAAGCTGGCGTAAGAATTTCGTATCACTTCAACTTGTTCTCTGCCTGAGCTGCAACATTGCCACCGCTTCCACTGCACCGATGCTTCTTGTTTGAGAGACCGCACCGTAAATCAGACCAGCAGTCTGGTTACACAAATGGAACTCCAAGAATAAAATAAAATTTAAAAACGCAGAAGTTCTTCTGAGCTGGACTGTTTCAGAGATCTGTTTTACTTCATGGCCTCGTAGACCATGATGTGAATCAGCTTGCTGGCACTCCTAAATGAGGGGACAGTTAACTTTAGCAAAGCATCACAGTTTCTTGAGCTGTTTTCATTCCCAAATGCAGCACGTTGTGTAACTACAAAGATAAAGGCTAATGTCCTTTCCATTCCCCTGATTTTTGAAGTAGCACTTTAACGCAGAAACAGGCAGCGTTCACAACGCAGTTAGTACACACTCAAGGCGCATCCCAAATCGCAGAGAAGGGACAACTATCTTATTTCCATATATCCAGTCATGTTTCCCAAAGTTAAAATATCTGACACCGACCTAATTTTAACAGCGATTTTTACCATTTTATGAAGCTCTCGCGTAGCTCAGCAGGAATAGTTGTGTGGCTATTTGTGAATCCAACACCTCTAGACAGCATTTCAGAGGCCATTTAAGAGCTCTGGCATGCAGAGATGTCTACACCTTTATTCACAGTAAGAAGTTCCTTATTTTGTAAATGACATTAAAATGCTTTTATATTATAACAGAAGGAAAGTCAGGACCTAGGATTTGTTAATGAACACGAGGTAGTTTATTGGTGCACTACAGGTATATATTTACAAGTCAAAAGCCTGGAGCCCAAACAAACGGAGCTGCTGTTCCACCTTATCTCAAGAAGAACGACAATAACGCCGGGGATCACATGCCTCCTCTCTTCTCACCAGGCTGCGACTCCCACTGTGCCCATTGTGTCTCAGACAACACCTCCTTTAATCTGTACAAGGCAGAGGCTCTGGCAAGCAGATCACCATCCCAACAAGGCACAGCAGGAGAAACAAGAAAATTCAGCAGCAGAGGGGGGCTGACAGCCCTTCCTTTAACTGAATTTGGGGCAGACCTCACCCTAGGTATTCTCAACCAGTTTTTGCTTGTGAAAAGAAGGGCTGGAAGAGAAGAAGAAGAAAGAAAAAAACCCAAACCACACAGGGAAGTCGGTTCCTCCCCCTTCATTCAGCATATAAGAATGGAGCCAGCCTTTCCCTGGGCCAGGTGGAGCTGCACAGGCGTAACTCCAGCTCATCAAGTAGGAGCCAGATGAAAGATACCAGTGGGGACCCACTGCGGTCCCCCTCACCCAGTACCTGATGTGAGCTCTCCCCTCTGTGCAAGCTACCTGCAAAACCTGAAGCTGTTCAAAAGACCGATCTACCTTCGCGATTAGTCAGCCTTGGGTTTAAGACTGATATACGGGCAAGAACGTCATGAGCACTCTGGGAGATTTTAAAAACATTCCTCTGTTCTGCTGCGGCAGCACACCGCCCACGGACCACGCTCCTGGAAATCACTGCCAGGCTTCTCCCCAAACAGCAGCATCGACACCGCTGCCCGGGCTGGGTCCCAGCTGAGGGCCAGGCACCCCCTTCCCTCCCTTTCTTCCCTTCCCGTCCTAAAATGTCACACTTCTCTCCCGGCCATCCCGTACATTGGCTCCCTGCGGCGAGAAAGGGATGTTCCTCGGGATGTCTGGGCTGGACACGGAGAAACCCTCAATTTGAGTAAACAAAGGCCTGGCTCCTGGCATGCAGGCACCACCCTACCCTGACCTGATGCCTGTTGTCACCTGCGGCAGCGAGCAATCGCACAGAAAAGGCCATTTTGGCACAGCGGGAGAGAATACAAGGTGACCTGCTCACCGAGGGGAAACTCGATGAGGAGCTCTCCGGGCTGCGGCGAGTATTATTCTGTCTACAGTTTCAGGTGGAAGATCTCCGAAGGGCAGAGGCGTTCACGGCTCATAAAGCACCGTGTGGGGGATCTCAAACAGCAATGGCATTTTTATGGCTAATGCAGCAACTTTCCCAACACCAGCTGGGGGAGCGGCGGGGCCCGGAGCCCCTGCGCCGTGCCGGCACCGAGGCCGATTTCTGGCCGGGGCAGCGCCGGGCGGCAGCGCGCTCTACGTACCCGTCGAAGCGGACCGTGCCGGTCTGCTGGGTCTGCACGCGGTAGTGCTCGAGGAGCAGGCGGACCACCTTGGTGTGGCCGTTGCGGGCGGCGATGATGAGCGGGGTGGAGCGCTGCCCGCCGTGCTGGCTGACGTAGCCCAGCAGGTACTTGATGTCGCTCTCGGAGCGGTTGAGGAGCAGCGCGGCCAGGGTCAGCACTCGCCCCTCGCTCGCCGCCTTGTCCGCGTCCCCGGCCAGGCACTCCATCGCCGCC